GAGCCTCATCAGTGAAACCAGGGCTGGGCCAGGGCTCTTGACACCTCCCAGTTCCAGCCTCTGGCTTTCTCCCAGGAGGGCAGGAGATCAGACAGAGGTGACCCAGGCTCCCCTGTTTACCTCAGCCTCCTTGTGGAGCCTCCCTCTTTCTGCCTGTGTGGTGGGTGGGGCTGGAAGGAGGGGCACTCACCTGTAGGTCTCTGACTTCTTTGCCCAGGTGGTCCTGGAAAGCCTGGTCTATACCCAGTGCTCTGCTATACCCCATGGCCTGGCCACAACCTCCCTGCCTCCAGAGCAGCCCTGGCCCAGGGAAGAAGCTGGTCTCTGCATTGAATGATAGGTAGAAAATGGAAGTGGGGACGACAGCTCTGGAAAGGAGCCAAGGACGAGGTGCCTTCCCAAGGATGTGGAGGGTATTTTTTCCGGAATGGAGCTTGACCGGTGCAGGCAAACATCAGGAGGTGGGGAGGGTGGCTCCCTCTGTGGGAGCTGGGGTGACTTGCCTGGGCCAAATGGTGGTTGGCTGTGGGTAGGGCAGGCACAGCTGGTGTGCCCAGAGCCTGGGGTCCCTGTCCTTGCAGAGGACTTGAATGCAAAACAAGTGTTCCCTGCCCTCCTCTACTTCCAAGCCCAGACACACACCGGCTGCCACAAGCCCCTGAGGCTCTTCAGAGGACCAATGGGCAGCCACACCCATGCTGGGCCAGCCTGCTGGGCCCACCTGCACCCTGGTCAGGACCCATGACTGAGGGGATTCTCTGGGGACAATGGGGGCAGTCTCATGCTGCCCTCTTACAGGTGGGTCAGTCCCTGGGAGCTGGTGTTGGGCTGGGGTGGGCTGAGGCTGTTCTCTGCCGGAGTGCCTGGTGGACAGCACGTAGAGCAACTTCTCCTTGGCTTTCCTGGACCCCAGGACACAGCTGAACACTGCACTTTACCCTGGATGCCTTCGGATTCTCAGGGGACCCTGGGAAGGAAGAGGGGGATGCCTCAGCAGGAGGCCAGGGCCCTGGGCCAGGCTTGCTCCTCCTAGTCCCTCCAACAGGCACCTTCTCTCCAGATTGACATCACCTGATTCCTGAAGGCCTGGGCTACTGACCAGAGAGAGCCCCAACTCCCTCACCACAGCCTGTTCTCACATCAGACCAGCTAGTATGAGTTCGGAGTTGAAGCGGGTGGAGAGAGAACACAGGGCTCTGTAAGAGTTCTCGGCTCCCTGCTGCGGTGGGCCTTGTAGAAGACCCCCCAGAAATCTGCAGCTGCTGTAAGTCACTGGGAGGAAACTGTGGCAGACATGCGTTTCCCAGCCTGGTAGATGCAGGGGGTGTCCGGGCCCCCAAGTGGGAGGCCCAAATATGGCCTTGGATGTGGCAGTGCAGGAATTCTAGCCAGCTCTGGGGCCCTGGGCAAGTCATTTAACCTCTCAGAACCCCATTCCTGGTCACCATGGGGCTCTTGTGTGGATGTAAAGGACCCTCAGGCCACTTATGTCCCATCAGTGGAAGCCTAGCATGGGTGGAGACCCCC